AAGACAACAAAAGCTAAGACAACCCCTGCAATATTAAGTTGAGCTTCAGTTCACCTGTTGTACGGTTCAGCCATGCGTGTGAACCCGGCGGGAAGACAAACGCACCGATCGCCGAGGAGTCTGCGCGCTGGCGTTTATTTGGGTGTGAACGGTAAGCTTACGCGTTGGCTTTGGCAGTGATGGGGCGCACTGGCCGTGTGAAGCCACACAAATATACACGCGGAGACCAATACAAGGGCAGCGACCATGAGACCACAGCCTGCACCTGTAGCGGGGAGCTGAGGGGCTAGACTTGAGTGGCGGTGGGTGTGGCATCTCGCTGCCACCAGCCGACCCAACTAACCGCAACCTACAACATCCGATACATTATCATTGCCGTGCAGAGCATCCGCCGCCCTCTTGCCTTAAAAAGGTGTTTCAGTCGCTTTGTAACGTACTCATAGGCACCATATCTATTGACTGCAGTCATCTGTTTAGACATGTACGGCCTGGTCATTGATTATGGGACCCTCAAGCACGTGGAGAGAGAACCGAGGCACACCGGCCTCATTCGGATACAGCGGTTCCGTGCATCAGCTTGTAGCTATTTGGACCGATCGGCACAGCACGGAAAGCCGCCAAGCAGCGCTTTTACGGGTGTCGCAAGACGGCGTTTATTTGCGATCAGTGGTTGTTTACAAAGTGTGAAGGTAACTCAGTGAGGCTTTGGACAGGCGGCCTCTGACACTGCTAGACGGCTCAGCTGGCTGTTGGCAGCTGGCTGCAGAGCCCTTTCCGTTTGTATTCCTGCCCCATCGTCCATCAACATCTACCGCTGGGTCGGTCAACAACTTCTGCCATCAGCCCCCCAACGAGTAATCGCTGTCATTAACTTCGTCATTAAGTAACCGTAACCATTAACTTGATCATCGTTGAAGATTGGTCGTGGAGAGCTGCACCCTTGGCTGACAATCTCGAACAGCGATAATGTGGCTCATCCATTGACAGGAGACATATCGTGCTACATCGTGCTGCATCGCTGAAAATAAAGCACGGAGGAAATCAGTATGGACACCGGAATGGCTTGCCAAGCGCTCGCAAACCAATTGTGAAGTGAGTGAGTGCAATCGATATTGCTGAAGGCTATTCAAATGGTTGAATCTCGAGCATTTTATGAGGATAAATTGCAAACGCACGGGTCGCAATGGCCTGCATGAAATGGTCAGTGCAGACGCAGATTGGATGAGGCGTGTGCCTTTGATTGGCTCTGAACGATAGGGGAAGGGGGGACACGGCAGGCCAGAAGCCAATACTCTGCCAATATATTTAGAGATAACCGCATCATCGCCACCCTCGTCCAAATCAGCAAATATGGGGTGGTCAAGAATGGACGATAAATTGTCCAGCCTGTCAGTGACAAGGCGCATTCATTCGTAGCTTTGTGCTGTGCTGGACTTCGCAGGGGAGACTAGACGAAACGGAACCCAGCTGGCCGTCCTCCGGTTGACGTAACAGAACAGGCGGCATCGCGCTGCAGTGGCTCCTTGAGCTGATGCGATTAGAAGCTAAAAGATCCGAAAGCACGATGGGTAGTGTTTCGGTGTGCCACGAGTCAAAAGCTGACGGGGCATATAATTGCATTCCTGTAAGACCTAAGGCCACGAATGCCTTACAGACGCATGGTTTAGGAGCAACCAGAAAGTTTTCGGGCCAGCACACTCAACTGCTTATTAAGACGAGTGACTTATCAATTGAGAAGCGCACGTCAAGTTTCAGAATTTGTGAATGGCCAGTACGACTGCTGGCGGTGATCTAGGAGAGGGTAGGGGCGGTAAATGCACTTCAACCCGAAGCGATTAAATATTTTTTATCCAGAATGCGTAAAAAGCATGCTCTTGCGACAGAGGGGAAGCTTGCGCCACCTATCGACCCCGTGCCTCTCGCTTAAGGCCATAAACCTCATGCTCAACATTACACTCATCGACACGGAATGGTATTTTTCACAACGGATCGCCGACCGCTCCCACAGGCCACTGGCTCGCCATTGGTAGCGGCGCTAACCCGGAGCCGCACCGAGCCTGAGGAGCGCGTGCCGGCGTGACCCGGATGCCGGTCGACACGGGAGGTGGGGGAGGGGAGGGGCGGCCCACCCCCGGTGGCGTGCTCCGGTAAACAGAGCCACGCCGTCGCCGGCCGGGGTGTTTACCCCCGGCCGCGGCCGGGGCCCGACCCGTGTCGTCTGTGTGACCTCCGGCGCGTGGCGCGTGTCGACAGCTCCCCCTCCCCTCCCCCGTCCGCCGGGGCCGCCCGGGGAGGGGGGCTGACCGGCCGCTCTGGAAGTGGGGCGGGGCTACGGATGTTTCATACATGGGCTGGTCATGGTAAGTTTGTGACGTCGCAGAAAATGCCGGAGTTAGAGATGTCTCGTCCCAAAATTGTTTACAATGCGCCTAGGGCCATGCTGGCCCATTTCATCAGTGACGGCACATAACATCAGATCGAAAAGTAATGGAGCAAGCCCCGTCCCGGAGACCTCCGCGTCCGGGGACCTCCCCAAGAACCCCGACCCCGCACGCAGCGGCCCGCCAGGTTTGATCCCGCGCTACACAAATAAACCCCGAGCCGGCGCGGTGGTCGCCACCGAAGGCCGCTAGCGCAGGCCTCGACCGCCCGCACCCGAGCCACCCGCATCCGTGACGTCAGCTGTGACGTCGGCATGACGTCACCGTGACGGCAGCGAGAGGCAACGCCAACGGGGCCGAACTAGCTCATGTAGAAGCTCCAGTCCTGCTAGCGCAAACTGCTTTCAATGTGCGCAGCGAACGTGAGCTCAAGCCCAGATAAATTGTCAGCGAAAGTGGTGCGGGGCCTGGGAAACACGATGGCCAAGTAAACCTCGCGTGATAACGCACCTCTGTGACCCTTGCTCATATGCAGTGTCTCAGTCAAGTCATCCCGTTATCCGATGAAAAATCAAGTGACAGAGCGTGTCTGGTTACCTCAGACCAGGAAAGCATGGGTTTGCGTTCTATCCCCAGCGCCCAGGATGCGTCCGCCCGTCGGTGGTTCTCAGAGCCGGATGAGCGGTTCCAATGACGTGCTCCGGGCCGGCGTGACCAGCCCTGATCGCCCATTGTACCAGAGCTGGGGTCGGGTGCGCCGCCCCCCCCCCCCTCCCCCCCCCCCCGCTCCCGCCCGGCTCCTGTGACCAGGATACATCCGGCGGCCAACGACCGGCGATAAAAACTGGACACTACATGTCATGTAAGAGGGGCCTCTCCAGCGTGACGGGCCCGAGCAGGCGCCGGTGGGACCGAAACCAGCTCTGAGTCAGGCAAGCCCAGGCGCCGATGGGGCTGAAACCAGCTCCGAGTCAGGCAAGCCTAGGCGCCGGTGGGGCTGAAACCAGCTCCGAGTCAGGCAAGCCCAGGCGCCGGTGGGGCCGAAACCAGCTCCGAGTCAGGCAAGACCAGGCGCCGGTGGGGCTGAAACCAGCTCCGAGTCAGACTAGACCAGGTGCCGGCCTCCTGTCCCTCGTGCACGTGGGCTCAGCAGCTCGGAAGCGCGGGTGTAAGGACGACAACACTTTGATTCAGGTGACCAAGCCGCCAGTGGCTCATTCCCATACAGTATCAAAACGCAAGCTCTGCAGTAAAAACCTGACCCGCCCGGGTGTAGGTACGTCACGCTCCCCTGGCCCTCCCCCCTCCCCTCCTGCTGACCCAGCTGAAACGCGCAGCGCGCGGCGTACTCACCTCCAGCGCGTCTTCCTCAAGCCTCCGTGTAGTCCTTGCCCTTGTGGCCCAGCCGGCGGGCCAGGTCGGACATGACCTCGCTGAAGATGGTGGCGTCCATGTTCTGGCCGACCATGTAGAGCAGGAACCAGTCACCGATCCGCGAGCGCCGGATGATGACGTTGATGGCGTCGCGGCTGACGAAGCGCAGCCGCACATGCAGGAAGTACGCCCGTACCCGCGGGCTGATCATCAGCACCACGCGGAACAGGTTGTTGATCAGCGTCAGGCCGGCCAGCCCCAGGAACCAGAACCACAGGAACACGTACAGCTTCTCGTTGACGATGTTGAGCGGCAGGATGCACAGTACGTCCATCACCTCGATGTTGCTGGAGGGGCCGTACTTGCGGAAGGTGCACTTGGTCATGCGCGGGAACACCCAGATGAGCGGGTCCACGCGCTCCTCGGGGTCCTGCTCCGAGTACGCGATCACGTCTAGACCGAGCGTCATGAACGCGCCGTCGAAAAACCGGTTCATCAGGAAGATCTGGCCTGCAACAGAGCCAATCTCGCATGAGAGTGTGGAATGACAAAACTTATTGCACACAGAGAGAAGCAGCACGACATTTTTGATAGCATATGCATCAGGACCGATAGTGTCAGATTTGCTGTCTTTGGCAAAGTTATTTAATATCATTTAATTAAAGAAGTACAATCAAAGTACACGAAATTGAGCATGCCCGTCCTCTGACAAATATGCTGGGGCTAATCATGGCCAAATGACGTCATTAGCAGGAGGTGACCTGCTTGGAGGGTGGACTGGAGGAGTTTGTATCTCTCCTGGGACCGCGAGGGCCCACTCGCTGCAGGCACGTGGCCGAGATCAACAACGCCGGAAATGAGACGCGTTGGGGATAAGCGCGGACGTCTCTTCGAGCCCCATCCTTAATGGCGCAGGGCCATTTACAGTAAAAACTGACAGTTTTTATATTACAGGCGAAGCTTATGAGAAATGGCCGGCCTCCCCACGGTATTCCGCATTAGCAACAATGGGATTTGGCGATCAAGCTCCGCAGACATGCATTTCTCATTATACATTTACGTGCGCGACTCGCGGTCGGGTGGTGGCCACCGTGAGTCACACCCGCCCCCATAAACGCCCTACCAGCGTCCCGAGTTAAATAAACAGCTGAATTTGCCGTCCCCAGCGCGAAAACACGCCTCCTCTTCACACGGCCCTGCCAATAATCACCCGACAGCTCGCTGATGTGACCAGCGTCCGTTGTCCCGCGTCTTAATTGTCTTCCGGCGCATCGCCCAGCGCCGGATGTTATGCCCGCGGGGCGTTTTCAATACACCCGCCCTACGTCTCGCGCGGGTGGGCGTTAGGCGCACGTGACCGCCTCTGTCGGCCACGGGCCGGGGTTAGGGGTCAGGTTCCCGGAGCGTGGCGGGCGTCGCCGGCCACGGAGAGTGGGCTTCCGGTGTCCAGCAGCAGCGCCGCGGCCTCATCTCTTAGCGCAGTGACCGGCGGCGGCGGTGATAATGGACCGATCAATTAGGCGGCGGGGGCGGTGAGGGGCGTCGGGCGCGCGTGCCGGTGTCCCCTCCCGCGGCGACGCCCCCGATCAAACAGAGCGCCGCCGTACGGCTGACGGATGGCGGCCGGTCGGCGGCGGCTCCCTCTCAGAGGATTGCGTATCAAAGGTGGCCGAGCGGTGGACGGGGTGGCGGCGAGGGAGTGGGCGCCGTCGGGCCGGACTGATCGACCCACATGGAGCTTGATCGCATCACGGCGCGTGCTGCACCGGTGCTGGCACTAACGCCCGCCGTTGATTCATCACCGCCGGGGCTCCTGCCAGCGGCTGCGCGATCCTCTGCCTGAACACGCCCTGCACGTGACTGGGGTGCTCGCAGCGACCGGGCAACAGGAGCTTTTTCTTCGCGACGGACTGTCGGGACGGCTTAAGATACCATTAGCCTTTGGGACTGGAGGACGGATTTAGTATCTCATGAATGGGGAAACGCATCCCGCCCCCACTGTCGCCTGCAAAGACTCGCTAAATCAGACAGCCTAACCAGGGTGACCAACTGACCAATATCGATCCCGCAATTTCTGGCTTCTTACGCTAGAAACATCGGTGCCGCATGAACGAGCACGCAATGTCCAATGCAACAACTCGCTCGGAGTCTGCGAATATCACATGCGTGGTTACAAGCATGTCACCGCCTAGGACAGGTCGTTGCTACCATAACGCATCATCGGGTTGCAAGCATGCGCCACATAGCATAACCCCCCCCCCCTCTCCATGGATTCCGCGGTGGGGGGGGGAGGGGGTGGCAGGATGGCGGAGCGGACATCGACGCCGGATTCCTGGGAGCCGATGAATCAGACAGGCCTGAGGCGACAAGGACTCGCACCGCCTACCCGCCGAATGACAGTCGCCTGAGGCTATTTAAAGGTGGATCGCGATACAAATAGGTGCACATCTGGCAAGCGAGCGTGGCACATACCGCAAAGGCGCATGCGGTTAATTTTAGCTTTCAGCAAAACAGAGGAGCGGAGGTTGCTTGGTTCGAGCTTAAAGTACATAGGTTCCATGTGTCATGGAGGCAGACGTCTGTGAGATGGCAGTTTAGTCCATGTGACCATGAACAGATCTGACGGGGCAGGTCTGCGTGGAACGAATTCACCGCTGTTAGGTTGAGTTACTCTCAAACAGTTGTGTAGCGCTTGCTGAATCACGTTGCTTCATTCCGGGCATGGAAACAGCAGCGACTGAACTGCAATGCCACCGCCAGAGCTTTTTCTCAGCCCATGGCGATTGAACAAAGCAAACATCATCTTCAGCTCCTGAACCAAAAAAATCTGTTTTCGGACAGCTGTTCATCAGTAACCCCAGCCGGAAGCGAACGTGACATATACCCAGCTAGTCTAGACATCTGTCTAGCTTCACTGACATGCGCTCGCCCGCTGTCGAATGTTTTCACTGAACCGATTTCAGGTCAGCTGACATACCAAAACAGCAGGCAGGCAATCTCAACCAATCACGCGAAATCGACGAAAAGGGGCCAGCTACAGGTTTGCGTTTCGAAGATCTCCAATGCATTCATAGCAATGCATGCAGCTCAGCGAACAGTTGATATGAGGCGCTAGTGATTCAAACTTCCATTTGCGATAGTTTGGTTATAAACAGGAACGTACCAACTGTGTTTGCCAGGGCGAGCAGTTCGCACAAGAAGTACTTGTAGAACCAGTAGTTATGGTGTCGCAGGTTGACCTGCAGGTAGTCTAGCAGCATCTTCTTCTTCTGCTTCTTCTCGACGTCGGCCACCAGCCCGATGTCCATGTCCATGAGCAGGGCGTGGATCTTACCACCCTCCCAGTGCTTCCACAACCACCGCGGGATATAGAACAGCATCGCCTGCAGGCAGAACACGAGGGTCGTCAGAGGCCAACCATGCCGGCCCATGGCTACGTGCGCGTTTGAAGGGAAGTTTCGTTTTCAAGGGACCGGCTGGCACGACCCGCAAACACGGTTCGTGCTTCACTTATGTCTGTGTGCAGGCATGAGTAAGCTATGACCCCAACTGCCTTCAAAAATGAGTCTCAAAATGAAAAGCTTCGTGGTTTATATATTAAGCGCAACAATGAGCAGAACTGTGTTGCTGTCTTCATACGGTGTGTAATGATTCCATAATGTTTTGTCCCAATCCAAACTCAGATTGAATCATAAACTCAGAGGACATCTACAAAAGCCAAAAATGTGCTAAGTCGAAATTCGGAACTCGCAACCAAACTGACATAAACTTGCTGTAAATCTGGGTGTTCTGCTTGATTTTCGTCGGGCTCAAGGCTGTTGAAACAGGTGTATACGGAACTTACATATGATTCTCATCTTTGTTCTCTGGTGGTATACCGGGAGGCGGTAGTTCAACAGAGAGAAGGAACATTTGCTCGTTATGACAAGGAAGCAATTTGAAATTCACTGGAAGGCGCAGCAATGACACGTGCGCAATCCCACAACTTCCGAAGTCCTGCATGAACAGTGTCAGGATCGGTCCCTTGACGATATTCCAGCACTAATGCAATTACGGCCGCTTCCTTTCGCTCCCGGTGAGACACGATAAATCATTGCCTCCGACGCCGCACGGTGGAAATAAGTGCGCGCCAACTCAGCCATTAAATCCCGCTATCAATGGTCCCCTCCGCGTGGCGGCGGTGGCGGTGCGGGGGTGCGCCGCTCATAAATGGGTCGAGACAAGACCCGTCATCGGGCCCGGGTGATGACGTCCGCAGAGCGCGCCCCTGTGTTTCGGAGGCGGACGGTGACGGACGCCCGCCGACGGCTGGCACCGGCGCCGCGCGCTTCCCGCGCGGCCGATCACGTGACCAGCCCGCCCGGGGCGGTCACGTGACTGCGGCGATCCGGGGCGCCACGGGCGTGTACGCGCGAAGGGGAGCTCAAGGGAGCGGCGTTGCTACCGACACGATACCGACGCGCCGGCTCGAGGGAAAGGGAAGAGCGAGCTGTGGAATGCGATGTTTTGGTTTAAGAACGTGGGCCCCCTGTTTCGACCGGCAGTCTCGCTCCCCTGCTGTCGAAGCGCTTGCACGAGTGTGATAACAATGGGAGTTCGAATGCCTATTTGAAGAAACCAATTATTGCTGGCACCACCATTGGGGTTACTTAAGCAAACGGTGGGAAGGGGATGGGGCCGGTCAGTGGCCCGTTCCATTTTTACAGAATGCGCACTCGTCTGTCGCAGTCTCCACGTTCCTAGTCTTCCACTGCACAACCGGCACGTGCGTGAACCGGAAATGAATCAGGGTAGTTAGCAGTCTGAAGCTGATTCAAGCAGAACGCCGCTCATGGGAAAAACCCAGCGGAGCGCGGCGATGCATGCACGTGTGAAACGCACGGAAATAGGACCGCCAGCCCAACGAACCATATAAAACCAAGTGCGCATCGACCCTGGTAGATGTCACCACTGCCACCATGTGCTGATTTCTACCCATAGTGCAGTTAACATGTCGGTTTATGGTTCGAAATATTTTAGGGAGTCAGAACATTAATTTTTAGGAAATTTAAAGGATTTTGCGGCGAGATAGCCGATTAGCGGAACCAGTCAGCACTACATTATACGGGGACGCGGGTTCGCCGTAATGCAATTGAAAGATCTCAAAACTTACGTCACGGCAACTAAAATTTCACCGCACTTAACTTCAGGGCATGTTTCTGCAACAGGCCGCTGAAATGCTTTTGACGTCTTTTAGGTATGAAACTGGGAGTCAGGAAAAATCTACGGTTTGCCATTTTTTTAAAAGATATAGTTCAATACGGTCATCGGCCGACCAACTGAAACGGTGTATCATGAAAATTAAGTGACATCGGACCAATCAGGAAGGCCCTACTGCATCACGATATAGGTCCCTGCCACAAAAATACGCAATTTTCCGATGAACAGCATGAAGCATGTTGCAGACGGCGTATATCCATTGCATCGTGCAGTGTGCGCAACATCTTTTGTCGCCCTAACTTGACCGGGCCTCCGAGACACTTGATTCCAACCTTACCCAGACTGTGATGCGTCATCCTGTTGTTTCCTTGCAAATCTTAAATGGCAATTTCACTGCCCATGAAACTAACCTCTGACCACTTTTTTTAAGTGTGTGCATCCCAAAGCGTGCAGCCCGTACCCGAGTGGGCGCGTCTCGCGCCGGGTGTGTGGATCACACGCACACGTGCGAGCGTTTGCGTGAGCGTTAGAGCGCGCTTACAGCCGCACCCAATGAACGACATATGCGCGAGACAAATGGGCGCGGTCTCAGGTCTGCGGTGGTAGCCCGACGATAGCCGGGGCTGAAGACGTGCGCCGCGAGAGCGCGCTCGCGGGAAACATGGTGTAGAAGTTATCTACGAGCGGGGCGGCAGATTGCGTAGACCGATAAGCTTAATCTGAAGATAAGCAGAGGCAGCTTTGCATTAAAACCCGAGGGCAGAACAACAACGGCAACCAGTAGGAGTTGCGCGGCGTGGGGCGAGGGAGTGATCACAGATGAGTCCCAGCTGTAATCACTTCAGTGACGTTAAAAAGCAAGCTAATTTGCGTTAAACAGCGACGAACATTTATATATATATATATATATATATATATATATATATATATATATATGCATGTTCGATTAACAATGGCTCCTGACACAGCACTGACGACCGTTTTGACCTCCCGTTCTAGTTTTCGGGCTTTTGACTTGGCATTATCGTTTAGATTAAAGATGGTTCGCCCAAAATCACTCATATATTCGTAGCTCTTTATGTTCTTGCATGTCCAGATCCTATATCATCGTTGAAGAAGACTGAATGGCACAATAAATACATTTTGCGTTTTAAAGAATGAAAATTGTGCACTCCTATTGTTTTTTTGTTGTACGAAGAACACAAATAAAGCATGGCTAATTTAAATCAGACAGAATCTCATGATGGGAACACTACAAAGACACAAACATATTGCCACAATCAACATCAGTGGTGTTCACCGCCCACCGCCTAATAGTTGAAGTGTTGTACCAAAAATTGTTCGTCTGTTTAGGGCTCACGAGAGTTCGTTAATTAAAATACTTTCCCAAATATGAAGCAGTCTTCTATCATTGCACGTCCGCAATATGTCAGTTTTGTCTGTCAGTTGTCGTCGTGTCAATGGCCTGTCGTGTTCGTGTCGCATGTGGTCCAGAGGTGCCCCGACTCGTAAGTGCATTGCCATGCGTCGTGAGAGCGTCGTTGTGGTTACACCGATGTAGTGTATGAAACAAATTTGCAGCCTTCGAGGTTGCATTTGAATTGATACAGGTTACACCGACATTTATACACGTTTATACACGTTTCACTTATACACGTCACACTGACATGACGCACTGACATTTCACGGACGTGTAATGACAGAGCACGCCTTCAAATTTGGGAAAGGATATTCATTAACAAGCTCTCTCCAGCCGTAAATAGACAAATTTGTGTACAACGCTTGAATTATTCGGTGGTGGACGGTGAGCAGTATTGATGTGATCGTGGTAATACGTTTGTGTCTTTGTAGTGTTCCCATCATGGCATTCTGTCTTGCTTCAATTAGCCATGCTTCATTTGTGTTCTCCGTACAAAAATCCAACAGAAGTGCACAATTTGCATCCTTTAAAACCCAAAACTTACTTCTTATGTCACTCAGTCTTCTTCGGCGACGAGATAGGGTTTCGAATCGTAAGTATGTAAAAAGCTACGAATATATGAGTGATTTTGAGCAAACCATCTTGAATCTAAACGATAATTCCAAGTCAAAAGCCCCGAAACTAGAACAATGCGTCAAAAAGTTCGTCAATGCTGAGTCAGCAGTCATTTGTAATCGAACATGCTTAAGAGAAGGGATTCTGCCAAAATGTTTCAACATAAAAATATACGAGCAGGCAGTTAAGAAAAAACGTTTTACCAAAATGCGTAGAGAACGACTCGTGAATCACCAACCGCAGCAAAAGAAGACGACCTTTGAAATCCTTAAGAGAAAGAAAGAAAAAATTAGAGAAAGAGCCACAGGTATGTTGCCCTGAACATGAACTAGAACAAAAAGTACTTGACAAGCTTGACATGATTAAATGTGATGCTAGACGTCTTGCTAGAAACAGAATCTTAAAAAGGCCTCACAGCTCCATAGTAGACGTATAGTATTACCGGAAACTGCAGATGGTTACGTCACTTTATCTCTCCACGATCTTACTGAGGAACAAAAAGAAATGCATTCCCTTGGACTTCATTGCCACCTGTGGTCGAAATATGATAAACTTAAGAACAAAGTAAAACCAGAAATTGTTACCAGGATATATTAAACTTGGAAGAAGAGGACATGGCTATCGCACACAAGGATCTAAAGAACAGCTTACTGGGAGAGAGCACGAAAAAAGGTGGAAATGACAGGAGCAAGATATTCACACAATTACTAAGGACGGCGGCAAAGAAACTTTGAGAAAAAGAGAACGTCGTCATTCGGCGAGCGGACGTAATAGTTGATAGCAATGAATATCATGAGAAGATAAACTCTATCTTGAACGACGACAAGAAGTTCCGGCGCATCACAAAAGATTCAAGAGACAAACCCAAGACAAACCCTAGCAAGCTAACCACTGCCGCCAATGCCGCCGTTGATGGCATACACTTTTTCAAGATAACAGACGAGTTTGCGCCTGGTTATGCTTATGGGTCTGTTAAAAATTCAGAAAAATGGGAACACCCTTCGTCCAATAATTTCGCAGATCCCTTCCCCAACCTATAGAATTGCAAAACGTCTTAATGGTCTTCTGCCCCCACATCTTCCCATGTCCGATACCTTATCGTCAACGGATGAGTTTATTGATATAGTGTGATCTATCTCGTCAACATAA